TTTATATTAAGGATCAACCAATATTCTCTTAGAATTAAAGAACATTTTGAGTAAACAAAAGATGCATCTAATCGACTCGGGTACCTCGAGGGGTCAACAAACTAATATTGGTTTCCGGGCTAATAACATATAAGGGTAAAAAGAATACATTAAAAAAAAAGGTAAAAACAATATAAATTTCACCGAGGATAAGATATTTTTACTTCGACATACAATTTTAGCCGGAAGTACACCACTTCCCATCATCATGATGCTGCCCGGGGTTTCAATGCCTGCCCTGCAGAAAGCAAAGGTATATTGTTTGATTATATGTAAAATCCAAGAGCTCCAAAGTTTAGACTAAAATCTACAATGCATTTACAAAAACAAATGGAAAAAGAAAGGAAAGAAATACAAACCTTGCGCTTCTTATATTTTCTCATTCCGCCTCTACTACTACCAAAACTGGTCGGTTGCTCGTCATCAGCACCTCCCAAGGGCATCGATTTTACCTCGTCAAAGAAACTATCGGTTACGCCACCCATCCTAGAGAATAAAATGAAGTATGTCAAAACCGAAAAGGAAACAATGATTAGATGTTTTAGAAGTACGGTGATTGAATCGAAGTTTTCGTACCCATATCTCGACTTCTTTAGGTATTTTTCTCTCTTTTTCTCCATCTTTGTAAGCGGCGCACGAGTGAAAAGCTCCTCTTCTCTTCGATCACGTTCGTCCATTTTAGCTACATATCTAGCAACTTCTCTATTTTCGAGTCCAACACTTTCTTTAATCTGTAGTTACCATGAACAACAAGTTTTAAGTACTCTATACGTTGAATGTTTCGAGAAAAAAAACCCCATATTATATAATAGTACATCCATAACAAACCTCTTCAGGTTTCCCAGCCATGTCATCCATAAGCTCCCTCATATAATCACTCTGTCGAGCTCTTCGGAGTGTCTCTAAATCCTTCCTCGAGGAAGTTCTCTCCTTCCTAGAGTTCTTATCTTCATCCATAGTAGTAGGGGCAAACCTTGGTGGACGATATATACCATCTCCATCCTATTTGAATGTTCAGTTCAGAAACAAAAGCCATTGTTGAGTTTTTCGCATAACAATTGGAATAAAAGAGTTATTAAACTTGATCCTTGACTTAATGCCTCACCTCAGCAATCCCTTCTGATTTACTGACAAGCATGTCAGGGTTTGGACGATATTTTAACCGATCATCCGTAGCCTGAGGTGTAGCTGATTCCTTTTCATCCACGAATGCATCCTCTTTTGTAACAACAGAAACTCTTGTCAGCTTCTGAATCTGATACTCGAGCTTCTTATCAATAGGTCGAATCTGCGTCAACCAAAAGGCAGGGCTTATAAGTCCCATGCAGGTAAGCAAGCAGAAAAGAGTAGGGGAAAAGGAACGAACCTTCTCGAGAAATAACCTTATCTCTACAAGACTCCTGACAACAGGATGGCCCTCAATTGAGAACCCCTTGGCTTTGCGAAGCAAATAGTATACAAGTGAAGAGCAATAGTTAAGAAGTAATAAATATTTGGCATCAAGATAGCTTATCCCATCTGATGTAGGAAGCTCGTTTGATTTTACCTGACATACAAAACACAGATAAAGCCATCTATCAAAAGCTGGAATTTTTTGTAGCTAAAAGAAGCAAAGAATAAAAATAATAAGACACTTCGGCCCAAATTCTGCGACAACGGGTAAAGACATTTTTCGCATGTTTTTGCTCATATATTCTTGACAAAGATGTGGGCTTATTGTCATCCACGGGTTTTTATGATGATTACGGTCGAGATATCCAGCGTTGGTCAAATAAAATTGTAGGTTCAAATTTCTGCTATAGAAGTGACTCATCTCATAGGATCAGTTAAGGATATCCAAAAAAGGTGTTCTACAAGATCAAGCAGTGTTTTTCAAGGAGTACTCTTAAAACAACAAGACTTCTTGCTTGAACAAAGGCAAGATACGCACAAAAGGCGATCACTTAAAGCAAACTATAGTTTCTCAAATCAGATACTATAATTAGAATATACTAAGTAGGATAAAGAACATAAATATACACTTTCCAATGTCAAAAAAGCACTAGATAAGATTTTCTGCAGACACGTTGAGATTCTGGCCACAAGAATCTCTTCAGTATTTTGAAACTTGCAATTGATACAATAATAAACACAAATTTGACACAAAGTTAGTGTCAAATTTTGTAGAACAATAATATTTTGCAGATTATAATACAAAGAACACACATAATCAGATACGATTATTAACTCTCCATAGCTATATAACATGCTAAAGATGGACATAACTCGCAAGTCAAGTGTACCAAAACAGGAGAAAGTGCATTATTAATATATTTTTTATTAGGTAAGGACATCACTTTGGAAACACAGTGAGCTAGTCAATCAAAGTTTCGTTACCATATCATGGGAGTGCAAAATTCGAATTAGATCAAGATAGTAAAATGTGAACTTCAAACAAAATGTAGACTCTGGAGACTTCAAACCCTCGTTCATTATCAATCTTTCAGACTATAACTTTCACAGACTTGAAGATTGAATTGCATGCAAACTTCAGAATATAGAATCCCACCCACCCGAAAGAGACAATAGCACGTGAAAATAAACATCGACGTTGATTCTTTGCACATATTTCTTCCTAGATATTAGCTATGCCAGCATGATAATCTACCTTTCATCCTACCTAAATTGAGATATCTAAAATGAAAAAAATGATGATTTAATTAAAGTGTTCTCTTTGCTATCTGGGATTAGCAGATACTGAGAATGTTCTAACCTTGGCAGTTAAAGCCTGGACTTTATTTGTGACTGTGTCCAATCCATCCTTCATTTCCTTCAACAAAGCAGTTAGTTGAGAAGCTTCTCTGAGAGAATTCATTCATAGTAAGTCAGATAAATATAATCATGGAAAAAAGGCAACATAAGTATGTCACTCCAAAAAATCCATTGCCATTGAACAAATTGGAGTAGTCAGAACATTTTAATCTTATGACAAGCATTGGAACTAGTCATTCTAAGATAAAATTAACAATTTATGCCAAAAAAAAAAAAAAAAAAAAAAAATCCGTTACTTGTTTGTTCTATCATCACAACGCATGTTGTTGTGTTCCTCCATCGCAGTAACTGAAACGCTAAATTCCTAGATTGCACTCTGTTTTCAGGCTACAATATCTTAGAGATAACTGTTTGAGCTTCGGGCAACTCACACTCCGCAAATAAGCAACCTAACACGATGGCGTTTTTCATCAGACAAAAAGTGCATACATGAAAGAGTAATCTCAAGCTTAAGAAATAATAACATTGCCAAGAGAAACGCAATCCAAAAACTGAGATAAATAGGCATACAAGATGTAAAAACAAGTAATTCCATATCACGAGGATTTCATAAACCTTCCATAATAAGTCTGAAGCACAAAATGTACTTCAATATTGAAATATCGGATAACTGTGTATTTGCAAAAAAAAATAAAGAAATCTCAATCAACTGTATCGGAGAATTCATATATATCAAAGAAACCAATAAGCCAGACGAAACAAGGATCAGAAACAGAGATGAATATTTTCGCCATCGATGAGAGTAACAGTGAGATTACTACGACTGCAATGGAGCGAGAGAAGAGAGATAGGGAAAGCAAAGAACCTGAGAGAGGGATTCGGTGTCGCCGTTGCCGTCGGTGAGAGCAATAATGATATTGCTGTGCTCTTCGCGGCAACTGCTTGCTTCGAAGCGCTGGCGGCAAAGGTCTCTATAGAAAATCCGGTCAAATCTTTGCACTAGGGTTTTATTTTTAAAGATGAAAACAAAAAATAAATAAATACTACTATTGTCTATAATTTTAGTAAAAATTTACTTAAATATTGTCTAATAAATTTTATTTTTAAATTTTAAAAATATTTTAATAGATATTTCAACCTTCACTTTTATATCTAATTAGCTTTTAATATATTAAAATTTTAAAATTGAATTATTTATTATATACAAATTTAAATTTAATGTATGATAGAAACCTAAACTTTTGAATGCATTTAGGGTTTGGTCGGAAATGCGAGACGACATTGCTGAGTATATGAAAACGGGACAGACTCTTGAGGCTCTTGGAGTTGTAGCCTGTACCACAAAGACCATGAGAAAATGTCTCCGTAGATTTTATCGCGGCTCTGCCAAAAAAGGGAGTATAGGTCTTGCTCGTGGTGGACCAACTCACAAACAAAAAGAAAGATGCAAATTTCTTGCAACTAGACCATCCATATTCCTTAAATGGGCAAGACTCGTTCAGATCTTTTTCCATAATATCTTCATTGCATGGAATGTCACACTCAATTGTCGCAGAGACAATTATAGATGAGCCCCATGATGTCGCAAATACAAAGACCCATGGAATGTCACACTCAATTGTCGCAGAGACAATTATAGATGAGCCCCATGATGTCGCAAATACAAAGACCCATAAGGAGAATCCACGCAGCAACAAGACTTACCCCACAGACGATAAACATTAGTATCTTCCCCTATTATAAAGTTGTTTCTATTGACTGAACGAATAAATAACATCGAGACCCAGTCTTCATTAGCTATTTCTAGCGGAGCTCTGAAGCGTGTCTTGATCTCAAAATCGGTGAGTTCAACCACAAACTGAGACGTTGAGAGAGGCAACAAAACTAACGGGTATATTTGGGCGTATAAGTAAGAAGCTATGTACTTCTCAAGGCAAATAGGAATCAACTGTTGACCGTTATAATATAAAACATCCAAAACTATGATATCCAATTCTTTTTTACTAGACCTGTAGCAAAAATTTCAAATTTATGCCAAATTGCGACAAATTTCCTGAATTCCTAAAAATCCATTGTTGAAACGGACATAGTAATCGACCATTTTTCATATTTTTAAACAATATGCAATACGACCTGAACACATTCATTTTCAATCCCTGAGCTCACAAGTTATCTCGATGCAAGAAAATGAAAGAAAAGGGAACAAAATCTAGAGCCATACTAGATATTGAAATTAAATTTAGTACGGTTGACAGATACAACTTAACTTATCTCGAGGACGTTTCAATAAACGATTAGCATGACATGGAGCAGCTAAAAGCTTAAGTATTACTAAATCAACAAGATGAGTAAAATATACAAATTGATATGAACAGTTTAAATAAGCACTAAACCTATTGAAAAGATGTTCTTTAAGTTCAAGGCCTCAAAGGATGAAGGCAAACTGAGGTGCACCAACTGATAATGGACATTTAGTCTACCGATTATATACAAGTTTCAGCTCCTCCACTGTCTATACATTTCCCCAAGATGAAGATAATTAGATTTGTATAAGAGATGATCAAGTAGAAATCTCATGGTGTAGAGAAAAAATTGCGTCGGGACTATCCTGTGTCGTATTTGAAGCAATATAAGCTCGGATACGTTAAGCTGTTCGAGCTATCAGCAAGAACATCCTTCCAGATCCTCAGACATGGAGTACTTCAAAAAATTGAAACAGATCATAACTCCAAAGTCATGGTTACTGCAAAATGCTCTGCAGAGTATGCATGAACATTATGTAAGTTAAGTTTATTTTCTAATAAATATGGATTGAGACATTTGTTCATCATAAAACTTTACTTGTTCATCATAAAATTCACTCTGGTTTTGTCTCAAGACTTTTTTTTGTTTGTTTTTCCTGTTTTTCTGGACAATCTTTAAACTACATAATAAACAGAACAATATTGATAACTATGAAGACAAACCTGGGGCAATAGAGCAGCATGTCAGAATCCCATATCTACTGAGAGAGGTTCTATCACACAGCAGAAGGTTTAGTTTTGGTATTTCGAGACGGGCTAGCTTTTCGTAGCTGAGGATTCTCGATCGAATATACAAGAAGACTTCCATCTTTTGTTCCAGCAAGGAAGCATTCTTCGGTGGTAACAGTTAGAGACACGATTACTTTTCCAATTCCATTGTACCTACTTATAACCTCGAGCGAGTTCATGGAGCGGACAACTATCTGGCCATGATCACCAGCACAAACCAAAAACTCGCCACATTGGCTGAGTTGGACACAGTTGAGGCGGCCATTGGATTCCGAAGCAGCCAAATGTTTACCATTTATTGAATAGAGATGCAAACTAAGATCATCATCAGCATAAAACACGACTCTGCCATGCCGAGAAGCCACGAGCTTTGACAATCCACAACCAGATGGATGATGCAAAGATCTTATGTATCGTCCCTCACGAAGAGTATGAAAAATGCAAGTCCCGTCTTTTGAACCACTGATAACTATGTCTAGCTCCACACTAACATATAAGCACGTAATTATGTCGTCATGCCCACAGAGAACATGGAATGGAGTCTCTGCAATGACATTGTCTTTTCGAGGTGGCTCGGATTGTGTGTTGCGTGCTTTTTTTTCGGAGAACCTACCACGAAGAACATTCCACACCATAACTGTAGTGTCGTAACTTCCCGTAGCAAGAATGCTTCCATCCGATGTCACTGCAACATTGATAATTATTGTATCATCATAGTATTCGAACAAATGTATATTACTGAGGATAGATATGAGACAATTATACATATATGCATACATGAAAGTCCTCAAGCTGGAATATATATGTTAATCACGCCCATGTTACAAAGATGATCTATTCAAACTCCATTTTTAGCTTTCATAAAAATATATCCAAAATGATAATCAATTTCAAATAACTTAGTGCAACCCAATGATTCATCGTAGATGAAGACATAATTGACATACAATGCTAACCGAATAAGTTATGTTTGGTCATGTCACTGTAAGATGAATCAACTTTCTATAGAAGGGAAGCATGATGTCAGCTCTCCACCATTCTTGGGCCTTATGACCTAAGTAAGTTACCCTATGGCACATGTGTGCATCATGGTGTGGCTGAGTGTTGCAAAGCTAGTGTCTTGGACGTCTTCCTTTGAGAATGGGTTTCCAAGAACAGGTTGGGTGGCATGGGTGTGCTGGCATTGCACCCTGTCCCTTGAGTCGGAGGTTGGTATATAAAGCCGTCCTTCGGCACGGTATGCAAAAATGACTAAGAAGCTAGGAGGTTTGGTTCTCTCCCAGACTAATTCCCACAACTAGTCTCCCTAGACACCAAATCTTATTCAACTTGTAACCCTAGTAATGAAACTTGAATTGCACCAACTCCCCTCCTATAAGTAGCTGCTAGATAGAGGTTTTGAATTGGGGCTGGAAAGCCTTGATTTATGTAGCTTGTTTCGAATTGTGCAGAGGAATAGATTACATAAATTATGAATTTGATTTGTGAATTTGTGATTAATAAAATCCAATGTATAACCTAGAGGGTGGATTCAAGAAGCCTATGCTTATGTCACTCGTGAACCAAATGCGTACAAAATTTGGAGGCATACTCCTCTTAGATCGAGCCCTAAATATTCCCACGTTCGATGCCTCTTACTAATCCTATTGATAATCTCCTTTACCTACGTTATAATTAACCAATGCAAAATGGTAGATATACCCCTCTTAACAATCCCATCAAAAAAGAAAGTCATTAGACTTTGTCTTGTCTAGAGAATGATTAGAGAATGATTGTAATGGTCCAAGCTCACCGCTAGCAGATATTGTCATCTTTATCCCTCAAGGTTTTTAAAATGTGTTTGCTAGGGAGAGGTTCCCACACCCTTATAAAGTGTGTTTCGTTCTCCTCCCCAACCAATGTGGGATATCACAATCCACCCCCTTTTGGGTTCAGCGCCCTCGCTGGCACTCGTTCCTTTCTCCGGTCAATGTGGGACCCCCACCAAATCCACCCCCCTTGGGGGCCCAACGTCCTTACTGGCACACCGCCTCGTGTCTACCCCCTTTGGGGAACAGCCTCCTCGCTTGCACATCGCCGAGTGTCTGGCTCTGATACCATTTGTAACGGCTCAAGCCCACCGCTAGCAAACATTGTCCTCTTTGGACTTTCCCTCAAAGTTTTTAAAACGCATCTACTAGGGAGAGGTTTCCGCACCCTTATAAAGAGTGTTCGTTCTCCTCCCTAACTAATGTGAGATATCACAATGATCTCAGAAGTAAGCCCATAAAATACCATACTTCTAATACATATAATGAAGGTACCTGCTGCACAGCTAACCACATCACTATGCTGTCGGATGCTCTGTAACAACCTGCCATCAGTCAGGGAAATAATATGAAAACTATTATCCCAATTCCCACAAGAAACCAGAAAGTTCTCGGCGGGTGTTGGCATGGTAGCGAAGCATTGTCCTCCAAGTTCAAAATTTTCAGCTAGAGGGCTCCCGATTTTACGAGGAGAAAGAATATCCGAACCCACTCCAAAAAAAGGTTCCTGCAAAACGTTAATAAGTTTGTAAATCACAACAAAATCAATTTTATAGATAACAAGAATTATCGACTTTCATAGACGTTCGAGAACGAACCTGAGACCCAGAGAACGTAAAATTTCCACCATACTGTAACTGAGTGGTCAACCACATCTTAACAGTCAGAACTAGCCCCTGGCTCACAAGGACAATATGCGTGTCTAACATACTAATGTGTAATATGGCCGAGGGACGATGAGTGGAACATGAAATAATGGACGTTAAATTAATGGAACCCGGAGCAAAATGTAACGGGTGTGCTATAGGTATTGGTGGCCCTCTTCTTGGATGTTTTTTACGAAAGATCTGGATTGGCGTTTGGCCAAAGTTGGCAATTTGATCTTCAATCGCTGATCGTTGAAAATCGTCTTCCATAGTGCCAAGATCAGCAGCACCTTCATAAGTCAGATAATAAAAGACATTTGCAGCCTGCAATACATCACATTCAGATATTATGGATTATGGGAAAAGGTGTCTCTACAAGAGATTTAAACTTGATTCTCAGATAATACCTCCACGGCTGGTTTTCCGCGCTGCTTATAACCAAAAACCAGATCTATCCAGTGATGTAGATTTGAACTAACATACTCACTTTCAAGTGCTTCCCTGTTTTTACTTATAAATACTTCAGGTGAGCCCTACCAAAAAGATTGAAATGAAGTTTGTTATATAGAACAAACTGAAATGGGTACAGAACAAAAAAGCTAGGAACACACATCAAAAAGAGAGCAACCAAGAAAAGATGGCTTAAGCCAATTGAAGATGCATGTAACAACCCAAGTCCACCACTAGTAGATATTGTCCTCTTTGGCTTTCCTTTCTGGGCTTCCCCTCAACCCCGAAAAGGAAAGCCCACAGAGGACAATATTTGCTAGCGGTGGGTTTGGGCTGTTACAATGCAAAAGCAACCGACTTCACTTTATAACTCGGGAAACACATGAGGATGTTTATTGACAGACGGAGAAAGGTACTGCAATCTAAAATCACGGGCAAGTTACACACCTTGGCCCAAGGAGGGAGGACTACATCACCTAAGGGTTCACCATCTTGTTTAACCCCCAAGTGATAATGATTTGAATTGCAGAGAAACTCTGGCATGTAAAAGAACTCAGGTATCAACTCCTTCACATCACTTGTATTGGACAAGCAATTTCTATATGTCGCCTCGATGCTTTGAAAAAGTCGATCTGCGTGATCAAATTTACCCCCCTGCCCAAAAGCAGAAGTGAACGTTTATTTGTCAACAGAAAATAACCGAACGGCTTCACGCCACTCAACCGACCCTTTTCTTTCAAAATTTAATTTCAGGATTTTTGTAATTTGAACCTTTATTATTAACGTCTCGTTTGTCAGGAGTAGTATAACACTGACAACTTACTTGCAAATTCCGGTGAAGAGAAGTAAATGGCTCCAAGCGTAAAAGATAGTAGAGAACAATTCCCATGCTTGAGTAATGAGATCCATAATAAAAACTGCACATAAATATTAGGACATGAGTAGAACAAATATAGGAACTATGCAACTTTTATCATTAATCTAATTTTGTTTTGTTGAGTCTGGGAGTGTTCGAGTGTTGATATAATTAAAACCATAACCCATAAGCTCATGTTTTTGGATTGAACAGTGATTTAACGTGGTAGCAAGTAGGAAGTCCTCGGTTCGAACCCTATAATGTCATTTTCTCCCCAGTTAATACTGATTTTCATTTCTGGGCTTTTCTACAAATTTTCAAATCACAATTAAAAGAGATTCCAGCTAATTTTTGTACCCTTCAAAGAAATTAAATACCAAAACTTGCTTGAGAATATGAAATCAGGCGAGAAATCACCTTGGTATGTCGGGATCACAAAAGTTACGATATCTATCTTCAAATACCTGCAGAGGTAACACATATTATAATGGTAAAAGAATTAGGGACATATGGTGTGAAGAGTCAAATGAACAAACCTCAAAACGTTTCGGATTTAATGCTCCAACAGGCTTCGAAAGATCACGAAAAGTTGATGACTTATTAAAATCAAGAACCTCGGAGGAGTAATCCGCCAGAACCCAGGGAAACACTGGATACTGAGTTAAATCGTTATAAGATCTTCCAGAAAGGGTATTGAGAATCATTAGATACTCGAAGTTTGTAATATCCCTCCTCTTCCAACTCTCTCGAGCAGTTTCTGCCATCTCGAGGGCAACACGTCTATCAACGAAAGAAATAACTCCACTTTGATTTCGACTACTGCCTTTAGGAAACAAATAGTCATTTCTACTAGACACGATCAGAGTCCCAATATCTTTGGCACCTTTTGGTGAGTCGAAATTTAAAAAGACTGGTGGAACGGAATCGCTGAAGAAGATCTCTATCGCAGTGTATCTAAGCAAATATCGAGTCCAGTGAACTCCTTTTATCTGGGAAGAAAGAAATATTAGATTTCTGTAAAACAATGCCTGATAAAACGAAACGAAATCTGTGATTTCCCTACCTTTCCAATGTTCCATCTCCTATGACGTCTGAAATTTTTTAGCGGTCGTTTTAAATTGCCATCGTCGTTCATCACTTCCACATCATCAACTACTGTACCCTTTGTGGAATCCAATTGTAAATATAGAGGCCACTTTAGGGACTTCGGCTTTTGATCGAGCTTAGTCAAATCCGAACTTTTAAGAGCTTCGAAGTTCTTAAAGGTGGATGCTCCCCCAGTACCTTCGACCAAAAACTCCCCAAAGAAATGCAAAGCATTTTTCATTACAGCCAAATATCCAGCTAATTTTCTTTTGGATGTCACAAGTACACATGGAGTTGACGTGAGAACCTGATGCACGAAGCCATTAATAAACACTAACGAAATATTTTATCTAATTGGGTGCAGTTTAATATGAGTTTCGTACCTCGCTTTCTTCTGTCACCGGAGAAAATAAAGTATCTTTTCTGTCCTGTACAATATCTTTCCATTCACCGACATCTTTGACTTGCTCTAGGTACTGACCATCCGAAGAATCCTTGAGATTAGAAGCATTTGGTTCACATGGTTCAACATCATTCTCAATGGGCTCTGAGTTTCCTTCATCAGTTATCTTCATAGCACCTTTCAGCAAAAATCTTTTCATTTGCTCCGGCATGTGCCCGACAATACTAGATTTTTTTACATTTTCAGCATTATTAATGTCGTCGTTAGGAGAAATTGATGGGGGATGACACAACTTTTCATCAAAGTGATAATTCTTTCTTAGTTTGGGTCTTCGTCGCCACATATCTTCCGTCTTGTCGAGCTTCCAATGTGTTGAAGATATATTTGGAGAAGAATTAGCAGACCACGGGCCTCGCTCATCAATCAAAGCACGAAACATGTGCATCCACTTTTCCTGCCAATAGAAAAGACTATGAAGGACTGATGAAACAATCTTCAAGTTCCTATTACACGTAAAACAAATGGGTGATGATAAGTATGAAAACTAAACAATATAGGGTATACACACTGCGATATTTTGCTGCACTTCCTCATAAGCAAGCTGGAATGCAGCCTTTCTATTGTCGTCTGCAATCAAAATGGAAGTCAGACTACTTTGCATCTCCTCTTCAAAAACCTTCTGGTTGATCGACTCGTTAGATAAGCTTTCTTCCATTCTAAGTCTTAGTTCATGCAACTGCTTCTGATGGTCAATTTTCGACGACTTCATATAGTTTACTTCATCAGCTATCTGTAAAAGAATCGGCATCGGACAGTTAATAAATAATAAATAAAATATCTTCTCTCACTATACTGGAACTTCTCAATTTTCACCTGAGAGCAATACAAATGCTATTTGGAATAAGAAAAGTCAACAATAATGAGAGGTGGATACGTTTTATAACAGCCCAAGCCCAAGCCCAAGCCCAAGCCCACCGCTAGCAGATATTATCCTCTTTGGGCTTCCGCTCAAGGTTTTTAAAACGCGTCTACCAGGGAAGGTTTCTACAACCTTACAAAGAATGTTTCGTTCTCCTCCCCAACCAATGTGGGATCTCACAATCCACCCCCTTCGAAACCCAACGTCCTTACTGGCACTCGTTTCCTTCTTCAATCGATGTGGGACCCCCAAATCCACTTTCATTCGGGGCCCAGAGTCCTTGCTAGCACACCCCCTCGTGTCCACCCCCCTTCGGGGCTCAACCTCCTCGCTGGCACATCGCTTGGTGATTGGCTCTGATACCATTTGTAACAGCCCAAGCCCACCGCTAGAAGATATTGTCCTCTTTAGGCTTTTCCTTTCGAGCTTCTCCTCAAGGTTTTTAAAACACGTCTACTAGGGAGAGGTTTCCACACCCTTACATAGAATGTTTCATTCTCCTCCCCAACCGATGTGGGATTTCAGAATCCACCCCCTTCGAAACCCAACATCCTTACTGGAACTCGTTTCCTTCTTCAATCAATGTGGGACCCCCAAATCCACCCTCATTCGAGGGCCAAAGTCCTTGTTGGCACACCCCCTCGCGTCCACCCCACTTCGGAGCTCAGCCTCCTCGCTTACACATCGCCTGGTGTCTAGCTCTTATACCATTTGTAACAGCCCAAGCCCACCGCTAGAAGATATTGTCCTATTTGGGTTTCCCCCTCTAGGTTTTTAAATCTGCTAAGGAGAGGTTTTCCCATCCTTATAAAATTGGGGTACTTTATTCACTCTTCATAGAATTTTTTGTATTTGTTTTTATTCTTTTTTTTTTTTTTTTTTTTTTTTTTTTTTTTTTTTTTTTTTTTTTTT